TGACACCCCATAATTGACGTAGAGCTGTTGAGGGCAGGACCGTTAACCTCTATCTGAAGTCTGCTGCTCTGAGCATGTCAGTTGGAACGATGACATCATCGTGTTCCATGACACAGGTGTTTATAGTTGAGCTAACGAGCTCTGTAGAGATCAAAGGCTTCATTGTTCTGAATGAGAGATAAACCTCTTACATGTGAACGTTTTGTGGAAGAACCGTAACAGGTATCTGTGAAATTTAGAAACGTGAAGCATGTCAAGGAAGTTGAGTATCTGAAGTGTGCTTTTTGTGTACTTTCGGGTTAATAATGTGGCCTTTTTGGCAGATTAACTAAAGGTGTGCGGCTGCTGTGGTGGGGAAATATCAGCCTGAAATTACAATGGGCTTTAATGGAGGCATGTTGAAAGTTTTTGTCACTGCATGCCCTCAAGAGGCATTTTGTTTAATTATTTCTTATCTTTCAAGCTACGAGATGTTTTCCTACGTTTGTCATGAAAAATGATGTCTCAGGAATGTAGGGTTTGGGAATTATGGCAGTTCCTCCACTCTAGCTGTGACATCACGCACTCTAAAATCTGAAGAAGGCCCCTGTAACAAGGTCTGAACAATGTTTAATATCTCTAAAACGTAAGAATCAGATTTAAAAGTTGTTTTACACGAATAATGTCAGAAAGATGTGTAACATTTTAAAGTTGGAATGAGGTTTCTGAGTGAAAGTATGAATGAACAGTTAGCAGTTGAAGTCGCATGAAGATTGTTGAAGTTGAAGATTTTCTCCATTGACTTCAATGTTAAAAATGTGATGTATTATGGGATGTATCTCTGGAATTATGAAAGTTATGAATGAGAAACGTAATAGCCATCGATTCCCGACCGAGCTGATCGTGTTGATGTTTGAACGGAGTTTCTGCGATGTTCAATGTAGGAGAAGAAGACCGGCAAAATAACAGGCGGAATAATAAAGAATTTCGTGCCAAGCATAACAGATAGTGGGAATGCTGTGTCAGCACTCCCACTAAATGAGTTAGCTCTTTAGCTGCTAGCTGTACATACGATTCAGATCGTTATAAATATAATGAATATATCTCGACACTCAGATTCTGATTATAGTTAATATAAACATGAACTGATTTTGGTTCTGAAACGCGGTGATGCTAACGTTAGCATTGGCTCCCAAACACAGGAACACGTAAAGCGCTGATCACGTGACCCGCTCCTGCACGCGGCAGGTTGGACAGACAGGTGAGAGACAGGTAAATATCGAGTTTAGTGTTTACATGTTAGAAAGTTTTACCTGAAGAAGAAACGGAGCGGAGATCCTGAACAACGTGACCCCAACGTTTCATCAACTTCCGGGTGAAAGGTTCTTTTTCCGGTTTACGGAGTGTTGTAGAGAACAACGAGAGGAAATAAAACCCGGGAAAACAGCGATATCTCACCCGTCAAGTCACCTGTGTGACGTCAGAGACACCTGTCGGAGCTGCAGCCTGAAGGTGAACGAGGAGCTTTAATCTTTTTCCGGTTAAAGTCAACGTTGTAATGCTTAAACAGCCGTAAGCATGTTAGCTTAGCATCTCTGTACTGTTCAATCGATCTGTTTATATTATTATTGTGCATTATGTCTTTGTTATTTATTATTATTGTGTGTGGTGTGGTGTGGTGTGTGGTGTGTGTGTGTGTATAGATGTTACGGAGGAAACCGACTCGTCTGGAGCTGAAGATTGACGACACCGAGGAGTTTGAGAGCGTGAAGAAAGAGCTGGAGGTTCAAAACTCTTAAATTAATAACCAGTCGCGTGATCAGAGATATGTACTTTATTAATTGTTATTATTTAGTATTGATTATTTGTCTGTATTTCTCCAGGCGAGGAAGCGCCAGCGAGAGGAGGCGGAGTCAGGAGTGGGCGGGGCCTCTGTCATCAGTGTTGACATCATCGGGGGTGGGGCTTCAGGCTCCTCCTCTACAGCGGCGGGGAGGGCGGAGCTTATCAACGAGCGAATCGGATACAAGCCCCACCCCAAACCGGCCACGCTGCCCACCTTGTTTGGAAGTTTACAGTTTTAGAAAATACATAAAATGTTTCATCAAAAGAAACGTTTCCTTTGTTTACTTCTTCAAAAACGATAATAGTTACATCATTATGGACCACTCGCTGGGCGGGACATCTCTGAGCTGTCGACCAATCACAACAGGCCAGCTAACCAATCAGAGCAGACTGGTTTCAGACAGAGGGGGAGAAAAGGAGCTGCAGCACAGGCAGGAGCCAGCTGACCAATCAGAGCAGACTGGTTTCAGACAGAGGGGGGAAAAGAGCAGCAGATAAATGTAAAATAAAGTCACTCTTCAGACGTTCGTATGATTTTTTTAATTTTCATAATAAATGATAATACTTGTAAAAAGTAACAGATATAAAACACGGGTTAGTGTTAGCGTTATAAACGTGAATAAAACAAGTATTTACAGAAACAGCAGGCGGCACTATGACATCACTAACACTGAGGCCCCGCCCTTTCACAGTCCAGGAAGTGATGCTGACCAATCAGGAGCTTCGATTCAGTCACACGGTGTTTTTACATATTTATATTAATTTGTTCTTTTTAAAAACGTTATTCAGTAACCATGACAACCAGGAAAGGCCAGTAAGTGCTGATTTCACTTTGATCTGCTTCTAAATCATTTCTTTTGAGTTTGATTTAAAAATAATAATAAAAGTCACAAGTTGAGACGTTATCTCTCAAGCCAGCCACTGATTGGTCAAAAACATTTCCCAAAATAAAAAGGTGGGCGTGGTCTGTGATGATTGACAGGTGGCTTTTCAAAATAAAGGTCAGTTTGAGAAACATTAAAAATAAAGACATAAAGTAAATTAAAAAAGGAATGAACGGTTTAGTGCCGACAGCTGATTGGCCCTCGGACATGTTTGTAGTGTTCCCATGGCAACAGTAGTGACGGGGTCGGGGCTTAGTTTTAGCTTATTTTGTAAAAAGTCGCAGGATGTTTAAAACAAACGGGAAAGGAGATTTTCACAATAAAACAAAGATTCATGTCAATATTTAATATCCGTTAAGCTTCACGTTGATAAGATATAAACATATTTGTTGGCTTCAGGGTTAGTGGTCAGTTAGCACGTTGCTAGTATGCTAACCAGACGCAGTTTATTCGTTTGTAAAGTTTACCGTTTTTGTTGGAATATAAACTTCACTGGTTTCAGGTCACCCTTGAAAAGGAGATCTTTTGATCTCAAGGGGCTTTCACCTGGTTAAATAAAGGCTACAAACAAACTGAAGCCTGACGGAAAACATTGACGGGCTAACGAGGCAAGCTGC